CTGAAGACTTCAAAATCTAATAGAAACCATTAAGATGTTTGAAGAAGCTATCATAAAAGTGAATTTTTGGAATCAATTCGTCCACTACCAAGTGAGAAAAGCATACAAAGGAATATAATTTAAAATAAAGGTGTCACAGAAATAAATATTTCTATATTACAGATAGTAGAACTGAATGATGTGGGTTATAAAGCAGTAGCATTAGCAAATAAGAATCGGGAATCAAGTTGACAAGCCACGGAGAATGGAGTTGTTTGTATTGTATTGTATTATTGTTTAGCTTAACAGAAATAAACTACAAAAGAGTACCAAAGATAATACAATCAATCCAAGTTGTGAGCACTTTTAAAATTATTTCTATATCTTGCTGTACTCAGAGCTTCATGTTCTTGTTATCGATTGCTCCAATCGATAGCCAAACAAACTACTTGTAGATGCAACAGAAAACACAAACCTAGAGCCAAAAGTGTTTGTTCACGTTAGAGAAGTCCGCCTATTTTTGAGTTGTGGGCTATTCTAAAAGTTCTGACATGGCTGTGGAAATTAATTAAGTGCCTGACTGTGTGACTGTGAAGTACAGAGATTGTTAGTTGTTGCTAAATTAACGAGTTTGCTGTGCCACATGCAATTTGTTTTCAACAATTTTCTACACACACAAAAGTTAATAAGCTGTAAAAAAACTGAGTAAAAATTTTGTCATAAACCGTGCTCGTAAACCTCGTACGTCCTTACATATCAGATGCTCACATATACATACATAGGTATGCTATAAAACAAGGCAATGAGTTTCAGCTGTTAATTAAAAAATGCGGCTACGAGCGTCAACAAATTGTCGTTGAATTGGCGGGGAAGCCCCAAAAGCCGCCACTCGAAGATGAAGCCAATAAAGCGCGACTGATTCGGCAACACTTTGTCAGCGATTATATAACGTGTTGTTAAACGATTTACACGATTTGTTTTCGCTAACCCTTTGCCGCTGACACGTTGATGGATATGCCAATGCGGCACTGGATGTGGCACTGGCAGTGGCAGTAACAGTGTGTTGCACAGAAACCGAGAAACCAAACCGAAGCCACCCAAACGGCGACACGTTGCCGTTGTTGTCGCTCTTGCTCTTGCTGTTGCCCCTTATCAGCAATCTGTCAGGCTTGTAGCGAGGCAGCAACAGCAACATCATCATCATCAGCAGCAGCAGACATTGTCAGAGGAGCAGCATCAACAACGACAGGCGGCAGCTTCAAAGGCCCCCCCTTTGCACCCCTTCCACCACTGCCTGCCTAACTGGCTGTCTGTCTGACTGTCTGTCTGTCTGACTGTCTGCCTTTCTGTCTCTCTGAATGTTCGTCTGTCGGTCTGTATGGCTGCTTGTGTTTGACGTTGAATTTACAAATTACAACTAATTAAAAGTTGATGAGTCTGCGTGAGTGAAATCATGCGCCGCTTGCCGCTTGCCACTTGCCTCTTGCCGCTAACGCGGTTTCTCCAGCTCTCGATGCGGTCGAGGCGGCTGTGATAAGCAAATGAGGAAGTTGCCAAAGACATGGAGGCAAGCAGCACGGAAATGTTGAGAAATTCTTTTGAAAAGTGTGCTCTGCCCCTATCAGCACTACTTACCGATGTTTATCTATGAAAGGGGAGAGAAGAGGTGGCAGTTGCAGAAATCGCAATCGCAGCAACAACAACATCCGTTGCACATTTCAGCGAATTCGTTGTAGCGGAAATGTTTGAAGTTGTGATAAAATGGCACAAAAGGTGCACACAGGTTCCCAAATAGATAAATAATGCGAGTATGCAGATAAGAAATAAAAACATGTTTCAAAAATGCATGTGCCGGTTGCGGAAATATCTTTGCATTCTTGCCAATTTCTAAGCCAATCTGTTCAGGTTTTTAGTCGCAAAATTATAATACTAGTACGAGAAAATTGTCGAGCTATTCCACTAATGCGGAATACTTCTGCTAAGAGTAGGGAGTTGGAATTTAGAAAACTCTACCAGGGACGGTCGACACAAAAATAGAAACAAAGACGATAAGACAGTCTTATGATTTATAGAACATTTACGGGGCACAAATTAGAAACTCAGCAGAGAAGTATGAAATAATAATAAATAATAATATTTGATGCTTGAAAACAAAAGAAATGGCAGCATTGCTGTGTACTATATGACTAAGTTTAATTTTGGAATCGTAAAGGAGTGGCTGCTGTTTTATGCCAGCTTTTATGCTGCTTTAATATTCCAGTTCAAAACACATTTTTCCATTCTATCGAATAAATTATGCATTTATTTCTAAAAATATTTTATTTATTTAATTACTATTTTTGCAAATGTGTTGTTTATCTGAAATTTATTCGCTTCAGAAGATACTCCTATCACTGACAGATGCTGTATGAGTCTGATTTGAATCATTCGACTACTGGACTTATGTCGCATTTCAGGGACCTGTCTTTTGTGTACAATGATTATAGTTTTGACTAATTATCAAGAACTGTCAATTTACGAAATGATTTATGTTTCTGAAGACGCGTTTATAATCGTTTTTCCTTAACTTGTTTGTCTAACGAGTTTGTGAGGTTTCTTGAATTCGCGTTGAAGCACAACATTTTGTCAAAAAAAAAGGCATGGAAATGAACTAAGGTCGATGTAAGCCTAACTTCAGAGCTCGCTGATTGAATAGTGGAATGTAGTGGTAATTCTGTTTTTACACGGTATTTTTAAACGTTTTTGATATAGCATGGTTTGAAAATTTAAAATTGCATATACCTACTTCAGACATAATGAATCACCTTTTTCTGTATATGGTCAATGTATTTTTTACACGGTTGTTTCTGGAACCAATCTACGAATTCAGTCACGCAAGGAATACTCTTTTAATTTATAAAGAAATTCTAAAGAAGCAATATTTTTTTATTTGTTGGCCCTGTTTTTGACACTTATTTCTTTTCTTTCAAATATTGCTTCACCTTTGGACAAATCAGTTAAGTCTGGACCGTCTTAGGCCATCTCCACTGTATGTACATTCATAATAGTTTTATTGCTTCGCAGAGCCTTTTTATTTTGCTGTGTGTGGGAAACGCAAACAATATTATGGTGGCAGCGCAGAAGTTGTGCGGCAGTTGACTTCTTGGCGACAGTGGCTGTCCGATCGGCCCACAGACCTCCGACAATAACAACAACAACAAGCCCAATAATTAAATATTGTCAACATGTCCGCGTCGCAGTTGCTGTCGATGTTGTTGACTTTGTCTTTATGATTTAATTCTGCAGTGGAGCTCAATCAGAGCAAGTGCCTCAGCGATGCAGTGATGCAGTGCTTCGAGTGCAATTTGATGAGCCTCCTGTTTACGCTTGCGGTCTGATGTTGCAACAACTGCATCGACAGCAACACAGGAAGTGCGAAAACTATTAGTGGCACTTATTTATTCATTAGAGGCAGTTAGAGACTCCAATACAGGCAATAATGACTGTACACTTAGACACACACACACACACGCACATGGCAGCCTTTTGAAATTTTGCTCTAATTATGTGCTTGCAACAACAACAACAATATCAACAACAGCAGCACTGACAAAGGATGCAAGCGGGGAAATGGCAAGCGACGCCCTTTATTTGTAAAAAGCGCTTCACATTATTTGCATACACGATGTCAATGCCCTTTGTAGCTGTTGTTGCTTCAAAGTTAGCTTCTTCAGCATCAAAAGTTTTTCAAAAGTTAGTCATTAAGGCATGATCGGACTTGCAAATAATCTGCAGCCAAACTTGTCTTGGTTTACAAATGGGCTCTGTATGTAATGAAGTATCTTGTGGGAGAAAACTAAGCTTTAGGATAGACTTTTTATAACAACAAAAACCTTGTTTCTGGTTCGACAAATGACTTGCATGTCTAACCATATCTATAGCGAATCACGATATATTTTAAATATTTTAAGAAACCCATAGACTAGAGTTTGGACTTTGAAAATAGGTTTCTTGTAGAAGAGAACTATTGTTTAGTATCAAATTCGTATTAGTTTAAATTGAAACAAAATTATAAATATTATAATTCTAAATGTTTGTATGCAAATTATTTGCTCGTCTAACCAGATATTTATCATTTATTTTAAAAACGTTCATTTGTTTTGCACTCATCAGATAAGTATAAGTAAGAAACTTCGACATTGTTGGAATAATATCAGTGTATTGCTTTATCAAAACAATCTCTTTTTTTTACCGACATTCGACAGGGATTCTTTTGTTACTTGAAAGCTGGTGCTTCCCGTGTGGTCCCATTTCAATATGATATGATCCAGTTCTAACAATGGCATCCATGAAAAAAATACCTTAAACATACCTCATTTAGTCCAAATAGCTAATAATTCTATTCCTGCACAGGATGCTTTTAGAATTCTGCTAACGCATACTTCATGTGGTATTCCCATGAACTAGAAAAATATGCCTCAAAACAAAACACTTCCCAATCAGCAGAACTGGGAGACCCGAAATATTTGTCATTCAATTGAAGAAACCAATATAATTTAAATCAAGAAAAGCCATTTTAAAAATATAGTCAAAATAAAAAATGCGAAAAGCTATTGACTGGTCGAGGACTCTGACGCGATTGAAGGAAAACGAACTGAGCCCTCCTTAGAAATCAAATGACAGATTCGAGAACGCACCGCCTACTAGCTGTTCATAATCGTGGGCCAGTCTGGTTTCTGATATTAAATGTTTTAGATCCGAATTTGGTGTTTTTTTGTTAAAATTTTACTTTTTGTCACGATTTCATTATAATTTATTATTTAACAGCAAGTTATTTAATTGTCTTTCTTCTTACACATTTCACATACAATGTTTAAAGAGTGAATACAAATTTATTAAATGCAAAACTGGAAACAATAATTTTGTATTCAGGTTGTGTTAAACATTATTTTTGTGTCCCCAGAACGTCCAGGGGTTAAAGCTTGAGTTCAATGTTCCCCCTTACACATTAGTACTGTTTAAAAAGTTGGAAGCGGGCTTACCTGTCTATATATTGTTCATATATACTTATTTATGTATATATAGTATATGGGTATTCGTTTGCTTATTCACTCAGTTCGGAGGCCAATCACTGTCCCTGTTGCTGTCCCCTCCCTGGGCAGCGCAAATCAGATCGGCCCAGATATTCAGCAATGATTATAAGCGAGTTGCGCGTATTTAGATGTGCGCCGCATGGGAGCGATTTCCGCAGAAATTTTAGCAAACTGCACAAACACAGATACTGGCACAGATACAAGCACACAAACGCACACACACAGATACACTTGTATAGGATATATAGCAATAAAGGCTTCGGCACAATAATAAAAGCGTAAATGCTTATTTATTTGCAAGTCGTTCGCGAAATGCTCCTTTATTATTTATGAAGGCGGAGCACACAACACAGCGTCGCAGGACAACGGCACAACAACAAGAACATCAGCGAGGACGGAGAGGACGACGACGACGACGATTCCGGCGACAAGACGGCAGAAATAAACATTTTGAAAGACTCGCTCGAATTGAACTTTTCTCCAGTCTGTTTGTTTGCTTGTTTGTCTGTTTGGTTTGTTATGGTTGTATGGTTGTAAGGTTGTATTGTTGCTGTAGTTGTTGTCGTTGTTGTTGTCAGCAGGCGCTTTAGAATGGAACGCGTCAAGGGACCGCAATAAAATCTGCACACGAATTGATTGCCGGACCCGCGAAAGTGAAAGCGCTTTTACGGCACGCGAAACGAAATAAAAACGACAAACGCACACGCACAACAATTCTACGATTTTACAATTTTACGTAAATATAAAAAAATTTGATGGCCACCCGTAGGGCAAGGGTTACGGCACCTTTCCGGTTATGGCTCCGATCGACGCTGAAAGTTGAGAGTTCGCCGCCACATGCGCTGAACTGCACTGACCGAGACCGAGTCGGCAACTGGTGAACTGTCGTCAGTCAATCAGTCAGTCCATCAATCAAAGTTGCAGCCGACTACACACATACTCGTGCACTGATACACTGATATGCACACACACACGCGGGCGCTAGAGACGAGCCGAGAAACCGTTGTACTTGCAACCAAACGACGAACGATGCAGATGACACGACGACGCACACGATGCGTGCATTCCGCACGACTATACACCAGCAACTGTTCGGCTTGGCGCTTGGAGCCGGGCCAGCAAGCCAAAAGTCGTTTGTGGAACGCGTCTCGTGTGGATGGTGTTGGAGTTGTTGCTGCTGTTGTTGTTGTTGCTATTGTTGTTGCTGTGGCTGCTTGTGGCGCTCGAGTATGTTTTTGACGCGAGCGCGTTCTGGAGAGTTGGCCCAACATGCCGGCTAACTCTTAGAGAGAGTGTGCAATATGCGAGAGAGAGAGAGGAAGAGAAGGAGAAGCACGTGGAAACCCAAACCATGGCTTAACCCAAAAGCTGAGCTTGCAACAAGCCCAGAACTAAATGAATGCAAACGAAGTAGAAATAAAACAGCATTAATTCTAAATTTATTAATTATGTGGAATTAAAATTGATAAATCCCTTCTTCTTTTATTTCAAACGTGTTGCCTTGGAGCAAGTATTCTACTAGAATTTTGAATTTTGAATTCTGCAAAATTTGATCGTATTAGGATCAATCAGACAGGGATTGGCAAAATGATTGTATATACATATATATTTTTTATTTTTATTTTAATGTATATACAATTTATTAAACCAGAATTCTGCTACCAATACGGCAGCTTAAGCTGGTTGAAAATGTTAATATTTTGAGCTTCAAAAGTCTCATATAATTTTTATAAAAATGTTCAAATATAGAAATTGAGGAATTTAATTTGAAGAGAATTATTTTTTTTCACACACTATTGATGAAAATTATCGTACCAAGCTACTAAAAACATTAACCGGAAATGATTTGAATTTACACAAACAAAAAAGTCGATTTACGCTAGAGTTCGAGTCTCAAAAATTATGTAAATACTTAGTTTTAGATACCATTTTCAAATAAAGTATGAACGTTTGATCGAAAGCATTCAGAGAATTAAGTACTATTTAACGGATTCTGAATAATTTAGGTATTACAAAAGTTAGCATGTTTTCGATTTAAAATAGGGAACAGCCTGAAGGCAACTTTTAAAAAATTAAATTTAAAATATAAGAAAAAATTGTTTAAAGTACAACATTTAGAATAAAATGTGAGAGTATTATGGAATTGAAAAATTTCGCTTGATCTGAAAATCATATTATAACTTTGTTGGGACTTACTTGCTGGTCGGACGTACATATGAGTGCATGTTACGAATGCGGCGAGCAAAACAAAAGCGAAAAGTGTAGACTTGGAGCGCGCCGGCGCACGTTTCGTAAGTGAGAGAGGCAGACACGCTGGGATAGTGAGAGAGAGAGAGAGAGGCACCGGCATCGACTTACAAGCAAAAATAGATGCTTGAATGGAGTCCACATCGAGCCGGCAGCAGAGGCAACAACAACCAAAAGCATCTAAACTGAAGGTGGAGGCGGCAGCGTCAGCGTCAGCATCGAGCAACATCTGCTTTATATCATGGGCGCTAGCGAGGCATTACAAACTGACGGTTACAAATGCACAGTTGTTGTAGTTGTTGTTGCTGCCGCTGTCAGTCATAGGGCAGCAGAATGGAGGAGATTCTAGTTAGATCTGCAGTGCATTAGAGGGGAATTTATTGATGGGCCCCACTGATACGAGTCCGCCACCCCCCTTCATCAAGAGGTCTTCAGCTCCTCAACTCTTCAGGCTTCACTTTTCAGTTCTTCATCTGCAAATCGCTGAAGCACAAACATAGACATACTCGTACTCGTACTCGTAGTTGTACTCGTACAGAGATCAAATTACGGCATATTTTCAGCACAATTTCCCATAATTGCATTTAAACGTGCAGTTTGCGAAACCGCAAAATGCAAAAATGCAAAAATACAAAACTCCAAACGCAGCGGAATGCAATGAAAAGCAAACTGCGTGCCACTATCGACGATTGGTCATCGTCTGGCCACTAAGACCTAAGCACAAACATGTGTATACAAGTATTACGGACAAATACACTGACCGAAAAAACTTGGTTGAGTAACAGCCAGGAAAGCAGACAAATTCTGTTTTTAGTTTGAAAACATTTGCCCTATACAAGTATGTACTATACATACTTATTTTTGTAGTAGTAAATTATTGTAGATGGGGAACACATTTCTACATTCAATGACATTTGTGGAAGGGCCATCAAAGGTGGATCAATTATTATTTTAAAAAAAACTTGGTTAAGTAACAGCGAGGAAAGCAAACAAATTGTTTTTTGTTTGCAAAATTGTTCCCTTATATGTACATACTTATTTTTTTTAGTTGCATTAAATTATTCTATCTATTGTTCTAGAACACATTTCTGCATTCAGAGACTTTTGTGGAAGAGGCATCAAAGGTGGATACATTTTTCTGAAATTTTCCGATCCTCCTACATTTTCTAAACACTTGCATTTCTTAGATTAGAAGCTACACAGTATGTATTCGATTTTTAGTTGTGGACACATGTTTCCTCACCCGAACTTCTCGCTTTCTCTGAGTGTACGCATAGCACAGCATTTTTTGTTGTGTTTGTCCAATGCGAAAAATTTATCTACGCTAATTTCAGCTAAACTTGTGTAATAAAGCCGGCAGAGGTACGCAAGCAGCTAGCCATGGCCAAGCGGTTGCTGCAATTTGTGCATTTCTGTTTGCTATTTGCAGCTTGTCCTCTCCGGTCCTGTCCTCCACAGTCCTGGCCAGGCCAGCGAGCTGCTCGCGTGCCACTCGCGACGAGAATCTTCGAATTCGCATGAACGCCTTCAATTTTTCATAGAGCGCTTGGCCCAAAAGCCTGTGTCTCCACTCGCTCCCCACTATGCAGCTTGTAGAAGCAGAAGTAGAAGCAGTTGCAGGGGCAGCGGCAGGGCGTTTGGTTTATGGTTTATGCGCCGCCGTTTTTGGTCTATTAAAATGATTGCAGTATTTACGTTGCACTTTTCGACCATAATTTGTATTTGCTGTGCTCATCATCATCATCATCATCAGCATCATCATCATAAGCAGCAGCGGCAGCAGCGGCAACAGGAGAATCGACATCGGCATCGACGGAGCATCTTAGAGTTTTGCATTGAATGCGCAGCTTACTTTGTATCGCGAATGCCTGAAGCCTCTTTTCTATCTGGCTTCGCCGTCGACGTCGCGTCGTTCTGCCTGACCCTCAATACCGTCGCATTTGTATCCGTTGTCTATGCTTTTCTATTGTTTATCTGAGGCTCGCCAGGCCCGGACCTTGCCACAGCCAGTGGCTTCGAGGCACGCTGCCTTGTATCGCTGTTTATGCGTTAATATTTTTGCTTTATCGCCTGGGGCGTCGCATTGGCGTATTTACAATGATTATTGATCGCTTAATAGAGAGAATTTGTTACTCTTCCCCCCTTCCAACGAGCTGGCATGTGTTTGTTTGCATAGCTCTGAGATATTTTTGGTGTGATATCTGCGCCCAATGGTTTCAATTTCGTTTCTGTTTGTCTTCAGACACAAATACAAGTACATGGCGGCCAACACTCGCTTTTCTTCAAGCCCAGCAAATTGTGGCGCTCATTGTGTGGCATTCAGCATTAATGTTTATGCCGCCTATCACATTTCAAGCGGAATGATCAATTATGTCGACTCCCATGAGCTCGTCTCGGAGCCGCTTAGTGACGTCTGCAATTGCCAGATACGAGTTGTGTTCAAGTGGAGTGCACGTCTCAATTGAGGCTGTTGCACTAAAATAGACAGACAATATAATTTTCTTTTATGACAGCGCCTGAAAGGCCATTGTTGCTGCTGTTTGTCATTGCAAACTTTCCGTTTCATGCATAATACTCGCTCGTATTTATGAGATACTTGTATGCGAGCAGACACAGTGCTGAGCACTTAATTAGAATTCAAACTCGACAAGGCTGCGATCTCAAGGTCCATCTGTTTGTGCAGGCAGTATGTTTAAGGTTTCCAAACATCCCATTTGTAGATAAAAGCACGAACTCCAGATGCTACAAATTTGTATGGGAAGGCCGAATGTTATCTCTCGACATTGCAACACAACTGTTGAGTCAGCAATTTGTTTCACACTCGATACTAGAAATAGCATGATGATTAGGGAAATAGGGCATTGATATATTACACTTTTAAGAGCTACGAGGAAT